TGCCTTTGTAGTTGCCACAGGAGAGTGGGCATGTGAAAAAAAACTTTCAATCCCCTATCTTTTATGGAGAGAAACAAGTGTCCTTACTTACTCTCTAGTTTCTGAACTCAGGCTCAGTGATAAATCTAATAGTGTGGCCAAGCCCTAGGAGAAAGGAGTTGACTTGCACTTTGTTATTCTAAATCCTGCAGGCCTGTTTTCACACTGTTGATCCTTACTAAACATATAAGGTTATTGCACCCATTTCCATTCGTAAATTGCTCTTCCAACTCAAAGCTGCCTTTGAAGAAAAACAGACTTCACAAATGCTGAAGTCTTTGCTATCCCCAACTTAGAGGAATGGAGTTCATACAAACAGTAGGAGAGCATTTTCATTTTCCCCTAAGGGCCACTGCTGATTTTTTTTTCTTTCAGCTATAAATGAATTAAGTTGATATCCGCAATCAAAAAGTAGATTTTCAGCCACTAATTTACTTATCTGAGATCTTTGAAACTTAACTCCCCTTCCACTGAACAAGACCATTGAGCTAAAGCTGTTTTATGTCTCTAGTAATATAAAAGTCTTTCCCTTTCTTGGTTTATGATCGCTTGCATATTATTATCCTGAAAAAAAAAAAATAAGGCTGTGGAGCCCTTTAAGCAAAGGTAGGCGGCATTGACTTGTTTTTTCAAATCTGAAGTTGATTTCTATTGCAAAAGGAGATTAAGTCTTCAGACAAAAACCAAGATTCTCTCCCTAGCTTATTTGCTTCGTTTATGGCCTTTTTTTTTTTTCTGTCATTAATCTTACTTTAAGAGAAGTTTCTGACAAATTAGATCCTAACATTTGCTTCATTTTATTGATTCCAACCCCAGTCCAATCCTTTGTTACTCAGTACTACATTTCACACAAATCATAATCCAGACAGCAAGGGCATCACGGATGCAGAAGGTATACGACAAACAGAACAAGGAGCAATCTTTTTACTCTAGAAGCAGTGCTTTTCTATCAATGCATGACTGAAATGCAGAGTGTTGGGTGTGGGTGGAACAAATCAGATCTCATTTCTGACCAAGAGATGCTGCACTACACATCCTTACAGAAGTACTGCAGGATTTTAAGTGAATGGGAATTGCCAACGTGTTCAGTAGTGTCTTCTCCCAACAGTGCTCAGAGCAGGCTGTGCTGAATGTACCGTAACCATGAGCAGCAAATGCTTCTACCTCAAATAACCTGTTTGCTCCTACATGACAGGAAGCTAGGGGAGACAAGCTTTATATAAGCACCTCGCACTATTTAAAGCAACATGCTTGCTATTCAGAGACCACAATCCCAATGAACTCCACAAGCCAATACTTACCCTACTTTAGCCAATCCCGGCTTGACTCGGAGTACCCCGCTAACATTGTAAGGGATTCATTGAGATTTTTATTTAGCACATGCTGAAACAGCTGTCTTGCAGAAAGTCTAACATAAGTGAGGTCAGCTAGGAAAAGCAGCAGCTATTTTACTACACTATTCACCTGTGTGTTTCCTATATTCCTGTTTGAGCTATCTATAGCAGTGACATAAGTCTTCAAAAGGCTGACATCAGTATGTTGTTACTTCAGCTTAGATGGTTAAATAAAATTAGGATGACACTTCACCCCAATGCGATTCACGTTAGCTTCTGTAACCCAGCCACACAAATCGTGAAAATGAAGTTCATGCAAAGATTCAGCAAGAGAAAGTCATCTTCTGATCCAAGCTCAGCCTCAGCACTCCTGATTAGCACTCCTAATCTTCGTACTGCTCCTGCATCAGGGATGGCCCTCTTGTTGCTTTGGCAGTGTTCAAGCTTTGACATCTCTGAAGCCACTTTCTATCAGGAGCCCTCCTTTCCAAGAAGATCCACAAAGCCACCTTATAACTGTATGGCTTGAAGCACAAAGTCAGTAAGGGTAAAGCAGAGACTATTAACTTCAACATCCCATTAAGGAGTGGAAGGAATACTTTGCCAATTTAAGACCTTAAAGACACCCCTGCTAAACTAAAACAAGCAGAAGCAGCATATGAACAGATTACAGACATTACCATGGGGAGTTGTGGAGATCCAAAATACAAGAGGTTAAAAACAGATTAATCAGACTGCAGATCCATCAGCAGGTAGGAGAGCCCGAGCTCCCGATGCTCTCTTTGGAGCCCAAGACAGGTGGACAGGGACAAGGATGGCATGTGGAGGAAGCCCCGCGTCCCTCCCGCGCTGCTCGCTACCTGCACAGAGCTCGCCCCGACCCGGGGGCACCTGCATGTCCCTCAGGACTAAGGAAACTCACTGGTATAAAAGTCACAGCCCTCCAGGAGCCTCCCAAGGCAGCAAAATCATCTAATGACGGAAAAATCCTAAGCTGGTTCAGTCTCTGTTTATCATTGATTAAACACCCTGAGTTTAAATTGCTTTATTTTCTACTCTAGGTCTTTTTTTAAAAAAAATGGTTTTAAATGTTCAAATTGGCATTGCTCTTTGTAGAAAAGTTCACTGAAGAAGCCCAACAGTAGTTTTGCTGACAACAGTCACTAACCAAAGCAGAGCACACATTCTTGCTGCTGAAAAAGAAAACCAGTGCACCACACTCCTTATTTAATAAATATTAGTGATATATAAAGGTCTTCCTACTTATCTCCAAGGGCTTGATCCATTCTAGGTGTATATACACTAAGAATGAAATCTGCTTCTATGAAATTCATGTCTATACCTTGACTGGATAATTTAAAATCATAACAGCTAGTGATAAACATGAAAGACATTTCAATAGCCCTATCTTTTAAAGAAGGTTATAATTATTTGGGCCTGAAGATGTTACAAAAGCCGACTTCATCATCTTCTCTTGTTCACTGAAGAGCAACATCTACTAACTTGACTGCACATAAACATACTAAAACTTCAGCCTTTATTCTTAAAAGTATCCCGTGTTAATGCATCAGATACCATCACTGGACATCTCCAACTATTCCTTTGAGAAAAACAGCTCTTTTGCACCATTAACTGTTTAAACAGGCTTAAGACCACCTTGGACAACACCTTAACAGAAGTTTCTTTTAAGCTGTGATCCCAGGATTTCTCTGGCAGGTTTAAGCCAGAAGGCTTTGCAGGGGGAGGTGCTAAGGAGCAGCAAGACTTGACTGCAGCATATTGCCAGGCCAGCTCTGAAGGACAGCTTGATCTGGAACACTGAACAGACTCACACCTTGGCAATTAAACTTGCTTACGCACCGAGGAACCAGGCAGCTGCTCTTCACTAGTTGCACCTATTTTTGTTTCTGCCAAAAGGCTGGACTGACGTAGTTCTGCATGAAGCAGAAGACACATACCCACCAAACTCCCCCTCCAAAGCCTCCCAAGCAAAACCACCCACACGCAGGAACTCATTTTCTGGGGTGGAAGAACTTCTCAAAGAAGGGTTTACATCCTCCTCCTTCAGTCACCCGTCTAAATGCCTCCTACGCTTGTTCTCAGCTACCTTCTGGAACAGAGCTGCAGGACTAGAAGAGCCTAAGGAGCATCTCCTTTGCCACATAGGCACACGTTTCTTGAAATGCAAGGGTGATCAGATGCTGCCCTCATTTAAGGGGCACCAAGGCTCCTCACACCAGAGCCAGCTTTTGCTCAGAGCTTGTGAGCAAGCACTATATAGGCCCAGATACTGTTTGCAGTAATTCTGCAACCCACACAGCTATGCTAACATACAGAACTAAGTCAAGAATGTCATTTCTAGTCCTCAGGGCCTGAAGAGAGCTATCACATTTTGTTATCACTTACTGTAATCTTTTCCACTTGTTTCTACAGCTGTCTCCGTGTTCTGGAAAGGCGGATGTTGCGTAAGTGTGTATTTTCAGCCTGAAGTCCAGAAAAAGATCCTTCCCAAACTTAACACTATGCCAGAGCCAAGCAACAGTATTCAGCACTCTGCCTGATCACACCAAGCTACTGCTATACATATGAATTACTTGTTTTACTTAAAATCGATGCAGATGTTTCTGTATATCTTTCCTGAGAAGACAGATAATCTGTAACAGAACAAAGAGGTGTGTGGGAAAGGAAAATCAAGGTATATAAACAGAAACTGTTCTAACCACAAAGGGACATATTAGTTCTTTTGTTTTAAAGACTGCTAAAGTATTTAAAGAGACAACACAAAAATTCAGATTAATTATCTGAAATTACTTTCCTAGATTCTATTTATACTTAAAGTATTAGTAATAGAAGCCTGACTTTCAGACTTAGACATCTTCTAGCAGTCATTTAACACGTTAGTAGGGAAGAAGAGTATCAACCCAGAGAAGAGATGAGCTAGCAAAAAAAACTAACTCAAAAGTTTTTGCACCTTTTAAGTTTCCCTTGAACATGCACCTACTCGAGAGATATATTCACACAAAACAGTGCTTGCTTCAGACTAAAATAAGTCAGTTTTGGTAAACAGCCATTTGAGAGAATTACCAGTCAAGACACCTTAAACAACTTTCCCCAGCATTTCAGTGCAAGACCTCTTAAAATTTCAGTCTCCTGGGGGAAACTGCTGCAAGAGGACTGGACTAAAGATCATCTCCTCCTGTGCAGCTGCAGCTCAGATGCAACACTGTCTGGTGAAGTAATAACTCCCCCCTTTCCTCAAATTATTGCAACATTGGTCAGCTATGACTTAAGTTATGCATCACCAAGGCTCTTTAATTACCCGCCTGTTCTCAGGCACATTCTTCCCAAGTTCCAAAACTTTTAAGAACACTTGAGGACATCAGAACACTTGCAGTAAGCTTGCAACAAATATCCTTAGACTTAAGCATTTGTTTTCACATAAGCCTCTCACAAACTGACTTAGAAGTGAATTTTAAATCACAAGAGATTTATTTTTAGAAACAATAAGGAGCCTTCAACACACATGAAAGGGAGGTCTCACTGAACTTCCCCTTCTCGTAATCCTGATCCTCAGCGCGCTATGCAGATATAGGACACATCTACATCACATGGTGTGACACTTCAAAACAAATCTTCTGTAGTATTAGCTCATAATATTTTGCACAGCAATAATTTTCAGGAAGTATACTCCTAGAAAATTTTAGACCACAATGTTTTAAGTCTTAAAGCATACATCCCCAGTGCTGGCAAATATGTAAAGAGAAGATAGGCAGAGAAAAGTGTCCAGCAGAACATGACAGGTCACTCTAAACAAATCTCCCCATTCTTCCCCACCTCCCGTCATTTCTTGAAAACTTGATTCAGCTTTTACTTAAAAGCCAAGCAATATTTTAGGTAAATATTTATCACTTAGGTAAATATTATCATTAAAGTTCAGCTTCCTTCAAAGACAATGCATTTCCAAACCACACTTTGTGCCTTTGATTAAAGGCACGTTAGCATCTTCCTAGGAAGATGCTAATGGCAGAGTTGCAACAGCCCCATCAGGCCTTGACAGTGTTGAATGAGCTTTAATGCACAAACTACTCTGCTTACCATGAAAATGGTTTTCAAAATAGGTCTCGCAGCAAAGAGTGATTAGCAGTGCCCAAATATTACAGTCTTATGTGCTGTTTAATGCAGCAGCAGATCTAAGAGGCTCTAGGTACAAGGCTCTATCTAGTCTTCTCCAGGCACACTACTTAATGGTTTATTTAGGCTTTTTTCAGCTTAGACCTGATTCTAAAACACTGTCTTTAAAGCTTGGAGAATGCAAGCAGCAAATCCAGCCAGGAGAGCAGAAGCTTCCAAGTTGTACATTCAGTTTAAAGAAACATGCATTAGAACACGAGCAGCTGAAAGGCAAATCCATGCATATTTCTGGAGCAGATTTATCAAGCTAATCTTAGCAGTGATTAACAGGGAAGAACAGGTAAGATCTGATTAACTGGCTAATGAACGGGCATTTTAAAGCAACACCCAGAACAGCATCTAGTCGCATCCAAAACAAAAATCTGTTACTAATCTGTCACTAAGCAAATCACTATTTATAGCTTGTCACCTAATTACCTATCCTGTAGTTCTCTCAAAAAAAGAAGTCTCTAATGAAGGGAATTCCTTAAGCTATAAGTTCTCAGTGGATTGTCTTAGAAAGCTACACAAGAAGCAAGCAAAGCAGAAGTAATCAAGCAAGCTCAGTGACCACCCCTACAGCAGATAACCCAGTTGAGCATTTCACTAGATTTTTCTCCAGTTCAATATTTCACTAGATTTTTCTCCTGTGCATGCCCATGTATAAGCCAACAACAACCTGCTACCCAAGATAAGATGCTTTAGCCAGAATCCCACTCCCCTAGCTTTTCTTCTGCACAATACATCAAATGGACAGACACCACAGTGCAACTTTTTTACTGCTGCTTCTGCAAAGTGTCTGCTTCCCACTACAGTATAGCAATATTAAGGGAACTACCCACACAACCCTCAAGTCTGGTACCTGCTGAAGGTAGGGAGGGCAGCAGAGGAGTAGCGGTTAGTTCCATGTTCTCAGTTTCACTTATAAACCAAACAAGTAGCTTCAGTTTTAAACCATAGCCAAGTTGCTCCCATTGACATCAGAGGCTTAAAATGTGAGATTCGGACTACTACATGCAAAGTGCAGACATGAATTAACTAGATTTGAACTGCAGTAACTTTAGAAGACATTACTGCACATTGCTCTTAGCTAACTCACTGGCATTAACTTTTCTTTGCTACCCAGCCTGCTCCCTTCCTTGTGCATTACTGCATTTTAAAAACAGGCCTTTTCTTGGCCTCTGCTTAAAGCATCTTTTCACTGCTCTTTGCACTTCATCAAGTAGGCTGGGCTGTAAATAAGCTGCTGTAGAGCATCGCTTTGACAAGGACAGGAAGCCCTGCTGTACTGCTGAACTGCCAGTATCAGAACCCAGGCAAAGCTGCACCAACTACAAATGAACGCGGCTTATCTAGAAGCCACCTTTCAGCAACAGCTCCTTTCACACACACCGAGCAAAGTAAAATCTCACCCGTGTCATTTTAAAAAAGTCTAACGATGGCCTGTTCCACCGCACGTCCTCCTCCCGTCTGCGCTTTAGCCGGCTTTTCTTCTCGTTGAGAACGCAAGGCTGCGAGCGGCACCGCAGCAAGCCCTGGCGCCGGCTCAGCTCGGGTGTGGAGGTGGGAGTGCTGTTGGCTGAAGGCAAGAGATTTCCCGTCTCCGTGATGTGCTCCTGGGAGAGGGAGAGGCGCCGCCTTGGGTTAAAGTCACAAGGCCCTCCGGAATTCCAGCGGGTGCTTGAGCTTGTGCTTCCCTCGCTACTGTCCACAAAGCCGCTGCTCGCCGAGGAAGGTCTGGGCACCGGCGACGTGTTGAAGCTGGTGACGGTGAAGACGTTATTTAAGGAGAGGACGTTTTGTGGCAGGCTGATGCTTGTGCTTCTCTGTAAGGTGGCGCTGCCGTGACTGTTGCAGCGCTGCAGGGTGGCGCTGCCGCCGCTATTGCATCGTCTCTTGGACACGGGAGTCCAGACTTTGGAGCTGCCGGGTTTCCACGGGGAGCGGCAGCGAGCCAGCTCGTCCGGCTCCGACAGGGACCTGCAGTGGCGTTTGGTGGGCGGCGCCAAGGGCTGCCCCGAATTCTCGTTGAGGTTTAACTCACTTATCCATCCCGACACCATGGACGGACTGGAGGATTCCTGCTGCCACTGCAGGCTGCCATTGCTGGCGGGGCCTGTGCTGAAGGGGCACACGGGGAACGGGTACGCGGAGCTCCTCGTCGCGTCCGTCGGGAGCGGGCAACCGCCATTTAAAGCTTTCCAAGGACTGTCTTCTAAGAAAGAAGAGAAAGACAGAGTTGAAAGATGGCAGAGAAAGACAGTTTGTTTTAAACCTACTTTAAAGTTAAACCACAAGTCAAAGAAGTTTACAAGTGTTAGCCATGAACACTCAGCTCTTACAGTTTCGCAACACAACCACAGATTTCTTTTTAAGGAGACTTCTAAAAACACAAGGACTGAAGCACTGCAGGAGCCAGCCCAGTCCAGGTGTTCCAGGATACATTTCAACACTTTGTGAATGCTTTTTCCTATGCATTAAAAGATTATAGCACTGTGTTCTGAGTGAGCGGTAGGAATGGCCGCTTCTCTAGAGAACACCATATATCATGATTAAAACCAGTAAGGCTGAATAGCTGGAGGTACAACAAAAGTGGATTAACAAGTATTGTGAGAACCTAGAGATAAATACATGGGCAAAGCACGCTCTTTACAGACTGCTGTCCTTTTGACTATCAGGCTTATTTAGAACACTCTACTAGAGAAACTGAAGTTTTAAAGAGAAAGGTATTCATATTCTACAGCACGTAAAGCTTTAAATTAGAAGCAATTTAAGAGTTATTTCAGACTGGAGATTGTTTTCATGTTTGCTCATACTCACACACTGAAAAATCCTAATTTAGAGTGCAAAATAAAGTGAATAAACCATGTTGGAAGATCTTAAAGGGTGGCTGAATTCAAACACCTCCCATAGTGCACAAATTACGTGAAGCAGCAATACCAGGTAAGAAAAAAAAAAAAAAGCCTGCCAGCCAAGCCTCAGTCCTTTGTGAAGCTTTTCTTTGAGAACATTTTTGCACAGTTTACAGCTGTTCCTCCACATTACACAATAAAATGCAAGAGGAACTACAAGAGACTTTGGATTTGCAAATTGTAAAGCAGCATAACTATTGGCCAGCTAGCAGCGCTTCATGCCTGGTTAGGAGAAATTTGCTAATTTAAACCCATTAGCCAAATAAGTTTGTTATCTTAGTCTTAAGGGAAAGATTGGAAACAAGTTTTGCCTAAGTATAGCTGAAGAAACTAGAAAATGCTGTAATATTTTCTTATAGTTGACTGCATAGGCATAGGAGTTTGAGAACAATCAACAAATTACACATTTGCTGAGTAGCTTCAAAAGTCAAACCCAATAGCTGTACATGCTCCATGGCCAGCAAAGTATGTCATGGATTATCCTGTTTATTTGGATCTTATTTAAAGAACACCCTATTGTCTCAAAATCATTTAACTGTGCAGACAGCTGGCCTATTCAAACAACATGTTTTATTAGAATTCCTCTGTCCTTCCTCCTCCATTCTTTCAGATGGGTATAACCACATACTGTGCTTTGCCTTAAGCACGTAAGCTCTTCAAGGCAGGGACCATCCATAATTCAGTGCAAGTAAAAAACCCACACAATAGGATCCAGATACTGTCTGATACTTATCTTCTGTCAGAAGAGATACTTGGGCTAACTGGATTTTTAAAAATCCACAGAAAGTTTTCTCTGAGGTTGCTGGAATGAGTTTCAAACTCTCATAAACTCAGGTATTTTTACACAAGTGGTACAATTATTCATGTTATCAAAAATGGTATTAAAAATGGCATCTTTTTGTGCACATTACGAATCAGGATTCGCATTTTAAAATGAATCCTATTGAGCAAATAAGAATCTACTATGCAGACTTTGTTGTAGCTTTATCCAAAGTTTTAAATATATCCAGTAATAAAATGGTACAAAAGCCTCTCTTAAGCATCAATAAGTGGCATTCTTACTTTGCCAAATAGAATTTATTTTTATTCCAAGAGAACGAAGTAAAAAGCTTACACGCTTGTGTCAAAACACTGGACTTCAGTTAAGGATTTGCATCATGCAGCCCATTCTATTTGGCAAAGCATAAAAAAAAGGTGTTTAAAGAGGTTAGAGTTGTCTGCTAGGAGACGTTAGCAAAAGGACGTTTAGCATAAAAACAGCAATTGCTGTGCATCTGTACACCACGGGCAAAACCCGAACAAAAAACATTACAAGGCCTTTTGCTATGCAAAGCAGATCACAAGTACAAAACTAACAACCAGCTATTCCCAGTATTGTTCAAAGACCAGCTTAAACCAGCAGGCTCTACAAGAGCAAGCTCCATCCCCCTCACCTTATTTACAGAAGAAAGGCTCCTTGCTATACCAATTACCTCCCTAAAATGCTCTAAGGTTTCTGAGGAACTTACCGTTGATTTCGAAAGGGAACAAGCTGCCACTTTTGTTCAACTTCTCAGATGAGTACTGAAATCAGAGGGGAAAAAAAGTTTTAACTGGGTGAAAGACTGGCAAGTGTGCACCTCAAGGAATATGCACGCAGTTTCCAGCTTCCCTGTACACGTATAACAACCTCTTTAAAGGACTGGGTTTTGCTGAGTATCTTCAAGATGCTTCTAAATAGTTGGTTTTTAAAAATGCTTAGACTTCAGAGGTTTTATTTAACATGTTTTTTGTTGCATCACTACATATTGAAGTGTTTCAAGAATTGCAATAGCCCCAAAAAGAATTAAGGAAAATAATTCAGTCAATGAAATGGCTTTCATCCAATTCTCATTTTAGTGGAGAGGAAATTCAAATCTGACAATTGGGTTTCGTACTTTAAATTTACCAGAAAAAAAGAACAGAATACTTTACAGTAATAGCCAGAAATAGCTTTAACTGAATTATTCAAATTGTTGGGGGCCCCATTCAGAACAGTCACAAGCCAGCTTGATTAGTCCTTTATATTTTTAAATTCAGTACAATAAAACATTTTTCAAGAACAAAAGCCATAAACCAAACTTCCTACCCAAGAAATTCTCATCTGCAAAAGATGACAGTTCTAGAAGTTACACTGGTTTATCAGTTATGTCACATCAGCAAGAAACAATGTAAAGGTCATACTTAGAAAAAGGTAAATTTTAAAGGCCTACATGTATTTAAGATTAAACCTGGTCAGCAGCTCCTGCATATTAAACAGTTGCAAGCAAAATGTTTTCCGTTCTATTAACTAATATATGGAGGGAAAAAAAATGTTCAAAAGACATTCTCAAACTGTATAGATTTATCACGTAAAGACTACAATTTGTTTTTAAGTCTTCTATAATTCCTTCACAGATGTAAGGCCCTGGCAGAGCCCAAGGACTGCTTTTTATTCCCCATCACCACCTCAGAATGAGGAAAGAATATACCGAATACTCCCAACTTGATTTCTGTGCGGCGCCAACAAAAGGTAGCGCTGTACATAGTCTTCCTTTCCAGATGAAAGTTCACTTTTTAAACAAACATCCTTGGCCTATAAAGCTTTTCTATTGTGCTACATGGGAACACAGAGTGCAAGTAGTAACTTTAAATCTTTGAACCCCACACCTGAGACAAGTGCCAGTCTATGGGAGTGCTCCCTTGGTCTGTTTGTCTGGGGATGGGGAAGGAGGAGGCTGAGGAAAGGACAGGACAGCAATCAGATTTTTATCTCGTTTCTTATCACAGTCTGTATGCTAGAGACCAGCCATTGCTATGGGTTATGCTTTGTTTGCAACTGTCGATGCATTTATAGCTTCGTTAAGAAAGCTGTTTTCTTAAGTAAACAGCAGAAACACGAAGTTTTAAACAGGGCTACCAGACTGTAAATCCCATGGGCGTTACAAGATTTGAGATACGAAACCTGACCACAGGAGTAGGAACGGACACGGTTATTAGCTTGCCTTTTGTAACTGCAATAGGTAGTTAAATAGTGTAACTGTATTAATAAAGCTAATATTGAGAGCTTCCTCAAACAAGCTCGTCAGGTACCCCATGAACACAATATATTGCACATTGGAGGTAGAAAAGCAATAGGGAAATTCAGCTTTCCCTTATGGAAAAGCAGATTCCGAGATTAAAGAGCCTCGGCAGGTTATTCGATGGATCCTCTCCCCACAGTTTATTCCAAAATTAAGGACTAGTTAAGAAAAATTTCTGGAACAGAACAGCATATCAGAAAGTTTTAAAGCTTGAACTACACCGAAAAGGACATAGAAAAGGACAGCAAGAATGACCTAAAAACTCTCAGCCTTGGTTAAAGACTATTCACACAGGTTGAGAGGTTTTAAAAGTAACAAGATCTTGCAAGCAATCCCAAATGGCTCCCATTAAATGAATGCCTAAACGTCTGTAAAGAGGACCTGATAAATGGTCCATTTAGTTTAAAGTCTCTTTAAAGAGAGTCATTTGATTACATGTATTCTAACCATATGTTAAAAAAGCCTCAAGTGGAGACTAAATGATCAGATCTTTAACAGGGACAAGTTAAAGGCAGCATTTTTAAGGGGGTTGGTGGGGGACAACATGCATTGATATCTCATCAGTGCTGCACACAACAGCTTCCATGTTCACCCTCCTGTCCATAGAGCCACATCAGACCAGCTTCTAAGGCAGCCAGAGCTATCCAAAAAGTAGTCAGAATGATGTGTAGAACAAGAACAACAATTTGCTCTCATAAGCAATCAGACGTTTCACTGAAACATGTCAAACTACAAACAAATGCTAATAACTCTCGGGCAACAGAGGCCAAAAGCCTTGGTAATAGGAGTGCCATATATAAAACAACATCTAGGAGAGAAAGGTGCATGACTTCCAGTAAGAGCCTGGAAGAAAATAAGGGAAGAATCCCTGCATTGTATCTACTTGGCTTTCCAAAACTGAAACTAAAAGCGCTTGGAAGCATTATGTGATAACATATTCTAACGATATCTAAAAGTCCAAAGTTGAGTAGGATCTATTAAGCTGTAAACTGTTTGAGGGGTTATCTTTATACAGAGCACAGCAGAGGTCTCATATGGGCAGTTGAATATTCCTGTGAACAGGTGCTGAACTCAGTTTATCAGCTGTCCTGCACTGGCTTGACACCACCTGCCCCATTCATTCCCTGCTGCAGCAAGGTCTACCTGAAGCTTCTGGAATTAAGAACCCTTTGTTTTAAGTTTGTTTGTCTTCTCAAGTATGAGAGTTCACAAAGCAATTGCAAAGAACCTTAATAGGGAAGTCTGTTCCCCTCTGTGTGATGGAAAGCTTCACAGCAGTTTCTACCAGCTACTGCTTTATGAAGAGATTTAGATCTAGACCTCATATATAAAGCTTACTAGAAAGAAAACACATTCTAAAATAGTTGAGACACTGCAGTATAAAACCACCATTTACATGTAAGTTGGGTATTTACTTAGGCTGGAAAGTGGTTCTGTATTTGTGCTCCTTCAGAAGTAAGATCTTGTCTGCATTTGGAGAGATTACGCTCAAAAGGAATTAGATTGTGAAATGACCTTTGAGACAGAGCTGCAAGTTTCATCTGGACAAATTATTCACTCAAAAGGGCACCCAGTCTTGAACTAGGCAAGTGGCAGCAGATGTCATCTCAATTATTAAACATTTCAACACAAACCAGCTGAATTAAAAGTTACACTCAGAGGATTTAAGAGTTTCTTCCTGCCACAGATGCTTCAGGAGACACTCAAATTTCCTTTTTAACACCACAGCTTTGGGTCTTGCATCTTGTTCCCTTACGCTTCACAAAGTACTTCTAGCTTGCACAACACCACCCCAACCTCAGCCCAATATAAAGGGAAGAGTTGAACACAGACCTACTGAATCTTACTTGAGCAAAGAGAGATCAAGTGTTTAACCTAGACAAAAACTTGGGACACTGTATTGTAAAGTCCCCCTATTTTTGCAGGAAGAATCCCAATTGCTTGGGTGTTTTTTCCTAAGCTGGATGCAGTGCAAGACCATGCAACATCACTGAGCACACACTGGGGATACATGGTACACGGGTTACCAAAAATCAACATTTAACATAGCAGTAGGAAAAACTATATCTAGGATTGTGATATACTCAAACAATACATAAACATACTTGGTCATCATACAAATGAAAGATTACATGTATGAAGGATACAACACTACATATAAGCATATGTATACAAAAAATAAAGGCTTTGTGGTAGGTAAATGACCTTGAAGAGCTAATATATATCTTTTTATAACCCTCATTTATGAGCCAGGTTACATTCCCTTTGCCCTGCCAGCTGAATGCAAACAGGTTTGGTTCTTCAGACAGGCAGATATACAGTAAAAGCAAGTTCTTACATACTGAGAATGAACTAATAAAAACAGTGCACAATTAGAAGATAATTCTTTCATCTGCCCCCTCCAAATTACTGAGGAGTATCAGTCCAAGCAATGATTAACCTTAGATCAGCTATCTGCAGAAACTAACAATTGCTTAGAAATTTCCCCCCATTAAGTAATTTTCCCATCAATTCCATCAAGAGAAAAAAAATAAACAGCAGAAATTACTTTTTAGAGAGATCTGTGGCAAAAATAAATGATGAGTTCAAGTAGAAGAGAAAAGACTTTTTGAAATGCTTGTTCCACATGGCTAGAAAGGCTCACAAGGAAGTAAATCCTTCATCAAGGATATTTTCACATTAACCAAATTGACTGACTTGAAATGGCATTCACAGGAGAGTAATCAAACTTAGAAGTCCAAAAGATATTCTTTTCCTTAATCAACTTCTGGCAGGACAAGTCTGGAGAAAGCAACTTCTCCAGTGTTCATGATTAAGAAAAAAACCTGAAGTCTCCTTCAGATTTTAGGGAATTCTAAAAGGTGTTTGAGAGCACCACAACCAAATGTTTGAAAGAATTGAGTGGGCTCCTACATTCTAAGGCACCAGTCTAGCTTCGGTCTCTAGGTACACTCCAAATAAACATATGCATTATCACTTCCCTTCCTTTTCCACAACTGTATTATCTGCATGTGCAAGCACTTGTGCAACTGCACTGTGAAAGGGATCCTGAAACTGATAAAGGTTAACATTAACTCAGGAAAGAGGTTGGTCTCAATCTTGGATTAGTTCATAAGATGATTGACCGCATGGTCCTACAGAACTTTGTCTCACTGATAGCCTAGAGTTTCACTTGCAGATTGAGTATTTTCATTTACAACTGTAATTAAAGTCAATAAAATTAGGCTAGCAAAGAAATACAGGCTGAGGCTTCTCAAAATGGGCAGTCAAAGTTAAGGAGGCTCTTGCATCTTGGTTTACTCCGAAGCAGAAATAATCTTGCTCACTTCATATTGCTCACTTCACAAGTAAGGTGTGAAGAGCTGCGCAATAGGAAAAGCAAAATAGATTCCACAGTTAGGGTCTAAATAGCACTTGTGAATCGGGTCACAACCACAGATTAAACCAGCAGGAAACAGTAAATATTACGAAACTCTTCAGAGCACCAGCCTACTCACACTGATGAGCAAAGACCTACGGGCATCAACACGTTGGTAATCAGAAACCTGACTTTCCGTTCAGCTGAACATATTTAACATAAGATCTGTGCTGGTTTTGTACACTGCTAAAAATTGCCTACATTATGATCACTTTTTAAAAAAATAAATATTGTAAGTCATCAAGCAGCCTGTGTAAGTGAAGAAGTTTCCCCTCTTACTAGTATATTTTTCTGGTCAGGAATTAGGAACCCTGAGAAGTTTCAAGAAAATATTGGGGATCAAAATGAATTACCTCTCACGAAGTGAACAAACTTTCCACTACTTAAAATGAAGCTCTGTACATTTTAAGATAATTAAGGTATGAAAGAAACACCACAGATAGCAGGACCACCCACGGAAGTTTCATTTTTCCCTTCAGAAGCCCTTACCCACCTTGCAAAAGTCATCCTAATCTCAATGGCTTAATTCTGGCTCATCTACATTCTCAAATTTGATGTGTATTTCTGCCTTCTTAAACCACTTTGCATTTCACATTCATATATTATTTTGGCACATCCTTACCAGATTAATATTGTATGTTTTACACGTCAGATCATCCAAGCTCTGGTTCTGCAGCTTTTCTGTTATTAGTGTTACCATGGTAGTTGTTCCTTTTCCACTGCTCACACTGAAGTGTTGGAGGCTCTTCGGTGTCTTGTTTCAATACTCTGGAGCCATTGCTGTTTTGGTTTCAAGATTTATGCTTCCATCTCATCGCCAAAGTTTATTTCCAAATGCTGTCAATGTATCATGTCTGCTTTTCTGTAAAATTGAGGCAGAAAAAGAAAGTTAGAAACATTCTTTATATTTTATTTATATTCTTTATACAATCACAGTTGCAGTGCTGTAATAACTGGTCCACTCTTGCATATCCCTTTGTGCAAACACACCACTCAGAACATGACCAGGGCTGCTTAGCATTTCAGATTGCAGGTTTTCTTTCATTAAAGGAGATTCCTAGTGAAATTTCCTTGGTCCCAACTTTTTAAAAGGAGTTGAGAATCATATTTATGCAGTAAAGATGCCCTACTAAAGTAAAGCTTTCCCATAATTAGGCTAATTCTACCTAGGAACTTTATCCAAGGCAAAGATGCAATTTTCCCCTCATTTAAAAAATACTAACTAAAAAACCCCTTTAGCTAGATGAACTAAAACAACCTAAGCAGCAAGCAAATACTTACTAAACTGTTCTCTATTGTTAACACTATTTGCCATTCTTGAAGAGATTCTACCCTTTTGTTTTGTCATTACATCTTTCTCAGAAGAGGAGTAGTAGGCAGCTATACACACTCTCCAAGTCTTGAACTACTTGCATCTAACTTACTGCAAAGGAAAACGTGGACTATAATTGCCACCTGTCAGCAAACATCTCATTTTAACCTTTAAGCAGGACAAATCAACAGACATGTAAAAACATCACTAACAAAGGCTTAAACGCCCGTACTCCAGAAGCAGCCATTTAAGTGAAACGCAGGGAACTTGCTGCTTCTTTCTGTTCTAAAGACCCTCTGTAAAAGGGGAATTTTCTCCCCTTTTGTGGAGGGAGCAAAACTTAACCACTGCAGTATTAGTCCTTACTGCCTGCTGAAACTCAGAAACTAACTGCCCACTAACATACATATGAAACCCCACATAGTGTTAGCCGCTTAGTTTTAGCGCAACAAGTTCTCTTCCTTATTTTCCTACACTCCAAATAAGTCCTCAGTTCTCAGAACCAAATGGCCATTCTCCACATGCAAAACGGCATTAGTATTAGGGGCAATTTCTTCATACCACCTTCAAAAATACTCTAGTTCACAGGCTTTGTCATCTGTTCATACTGACTAGTGGTGAGAATTAGCTATTTCAGTTTATAACTTAAATTGGTCAAGTTTGAGCAGTGACTGCACCTACCTTTATAGAATAAAAAGCAAAACAAAGACATATCCTGACATCTGAGGTCTAACAAAACAATGAGATCCTGCAGAAAACATTTCGGATGCAAGAGTTTGTTTTCATGTAATAGGATTTAAAAGTCTACAGTAAAAGAGGAACAGCAAGAATAATCACCAAAATGAGAGTTGTAAAATACTGCTTTCTACACACTGCTACTAAATTAGCTGCAGTAGCAAAACATCACTTGGGTCATGACCCAAGTTAAACCCATCTGAAAATAAGATACTAATAGTATTAATGACAATGTCAGATTATCTTCTAAACCTGTTGCTTCCAAGTACATCCTGAAATATGATTTCATATGCTAACCCTACACCACTTCACCTTCAGGGATGTCTTTTAGATAACAGCCTCTAGTAGCTCTGGTGCCAAGAGAATCGTATCTTGTGCCCACTGTTGTCCTCATTCTGGTGTATAAGTTCATTGCTACAAGGCAAGAAGCTCACAAATGGTCATTTACCTTATAAAGCCTCCAGATGCTCAGGTAACCTTGCTTATCTGCCCGTTTCTATTCAAGATATTACATATACCAATGGCACGGAGCTGAAAATATACTGAAACTGAGCAACTAACTTGGTAGAGACTTCTGTTTTACGGTTTAAGATTTCTGTGACAGAGACTGCTATCAATACTGGTGAACTTTTCAGTTGTTTCTTGACTTCCTTTTCTGCATAGGAGGGATGGAAAATCAAATTCCTGTTTCTTGGTTAAGAAACGATAAGCAAATCCAATAAAACTATAAGAGGGGGAAGATTAGATCTGCAAACAGACTATTATAACAGTTATAATTTGCCTAGTAGCACTGAAAAAAAATGAAGTCGGAATCATACAAATAAGGAGAAAGAAGAGACAAGGACACTAGTCTTAATGAAGCATTCAGCTGTATGGAAGGGAGAGAGAGACTTCAAAAAAAGAGAGTAACATGGCACTTTTAAAATCAAGTTGGTACATGTGATGATCATCGTACTGCACGCTACTAAAAACTGAAAATACTACTTAGATTTGCAGCCATTCTGGCCTTGCCAGATAGTGTGTAATCCAGTCTCTTCTGGAGTACAGTAGAAGAGATTCCAAACGCTTTCTCAGTTCAGAAACTTATGTTTCCCAATGATATTTTTTCTTGTTTCTAATACAAGATCTCCCCTATCAAGAAAGGGTTTCTTTGACTGTATATATCTAAGGGTTCCATGGGTCAGAGCCTGTACTGCAATGAAAAAGCCACGTTGGCTCGACAAGCTTTTATACCAGGCCACTACTGCTTATCCGATGAGGAAATTCCATTTTTCTCTACAGGCACAAAGTCTAAAGCAGGAGTTTTAGCTCAGATCAGAAGCATGCTTTGGACATGAACCTCCTCCTCATCCTTCCTTAATATGCTTTAGTTTATATCATGGATCAGCCTCATCCAAAAGGAATCTATCCTGGAATAAAACCAGGATGTGCTCTCAAGCCACCATTAGGTGTCCAGCACCCTGCTCTCAACTCACACTGGTCTGCAGCAAGTCCTCGTGATCACAGCACGCACACGCTGCAGGCACCAGTGCTGTTCCTCTCTGCAAATCTGTTCCTACTGGGCCACATCTCCTGCTAACAACGACATAATGAATGATGTTTAAAAGGAAACAGATTCAAATATTATAACCAGATTTGGATAAATTAAAGTTATTTTAGGCTGCAGTTTGATAGGTCTCAGCTGCCATCACTCTGCCATGCTCAACTGCCAACACACATGGCTGTTTTCTTCTCTGGCTGTTTGCTGCCCATTGCGGTACGCCAGCACAAGTGCTTGTGCTACTACACAAAGAGTTAGATCAAGGAATTTTTCTAGCTGGAAAAATAACACTTCCTTTTGTCTTCCACGAAGGTTGCTTTCCAGCTGGATCAGCTCCCCAGGCTGGAGCGCCATGAGGAAATGAGCACAAATGCTTATGCAAGCACACGCTGGGAGGCTGGGGCTGCTGACCAAAGTCCCTCTCCAACGATGGCTTCAAAAAGAAGAAAGCCACACAAGAAAACTCTTTGACATGAGCGTCCCTCACACAGTGCCAAGCAGATTCTCCTATAATTAGGAATTAGATCTTCCATTCCAAAGCAAGATTGAAGCTTTTTGTTCCTATTATCCCCTTTCAGCTCATGCTCCTTTGCCTGGTCACACTGCTACAAGCTCCCAGGGATTTGTGGTCCCCCCTGCAGCCCCAGCACAATATCCCCAAGGCAGGAAAGCTCAGGTCACTCCAATGCACTCATTTTTACTCTCCATGGAATTGCTTATCTTTGGTGATAATGCTGTTATCTTAAAACCTCACTAATATATTAACATACTGTGAAATCTCACAAGCTTTTGGGCCTCGGCACCACCTAACTGCAAATTTCATGCAAGACAAATATTCTTTCCAATAGCTTCCACTACTGCCATTTGTGTGCAAAATAGCCATATGGGGAGCAGGCTTTCTGCGTTGGGTACTTTGTTCCACCAAGTTCTCAAGAGTTAGTTAAAGGCAACCAACTCCATCCTTGCTTTCTTTACAACCTGTAGGAGTTCCCCAGGGATACGCACACATCTTGGCTGTCACCAAGACTCTACTGGTGTTAGCAGCAGAGCCAGGCACACGAGCTCAAAGAGCAAGGCTCTCCCTATCTTCAGGGAATAACAACAAAGCCTTAAAAGAAAAGCTGGATGAGGCTCTGGACTATCTTTCATCACATCATCCATTATGGAGCTCAACTATGTTAAAAAAGGGAGCAAGCTGAGCTATCCAAGATTAACCTGCTGAACAAGAGTGACCTTAGTCTCTCCTGTGTTCTGCTAGAGACCTCATCTTATGAGGATCCCATTAAGTCTGGGGGTGTTGAGGAAGTTATTTTTAGTTGCAGTTAGGTTAAAAGTTAATTTAAAATAGTAATATAAATGGAATACGTAAGAAAGCCCTGACATGCAATGGCAAGCCAAAGCCAACACGTCTCCCAGACTGAGAAGGAGCTGAGGGCATCAGTATCACCATTATTTCTGACTTAAAAGTTTTATTATGTGACACAAATATTCTGAAATCTGAAGGAAGTTTAGATTTACTATTCCATCTGTATAGTACTACTAAAGAAATGAGGTTTTATTTCTCATCATTACAAACAGTAACAATTTCTGCTAAAACACAGAAATAAACTCATGCCAAATTCAGTACCTTATCAGTGATGTTACTGGTTACTTACTGGAGGGGGTTACTACCCAAAATATGGAAAACTCCCATCAACTAAAGGATAGCAGGCAGTAATCCAACTTAACTTTCAGAAGGATGAAGAATTCTGATGAATATGAAGCCAATTCAAAAATCTCTCCCTGGCTCTACAAGAAGGCAGCAGCCAGAATCCTTTCCAGCCCACTCTTCCTCCCCTACATACTGCAGGACAAAATGTTCCATCAACAGTTCATCTCCCTGGGAAGAAAATTTACATTTGTTTTGAACACTTCTGAATTTCTTATGTTTCTGGAAGTTCCATCTTGCATAAAGAGGGAAAGATCACAAGACTTCAAATGATTTCCTCGTAAGATGGATGTGAAGAGTTTCTTGACAACACCAGCTCATGTGGTTCTGCCTTGTGTTACCTAGTAGTAACAAGTAGGCCCTTTTTCCCTTCAGATTATTTCCTACTCTTCACTTAAAAGACATGACTGAACACAAGCACAGAACCCATTTCACCATCAATCCCATAAGGACATACTTGCCAGATCCCGGCAGAAGAGGATTAGCTAAAGTCAAAATTCCACTCCAGATAAGTAGGTCCTTTAAAATGCCTCTGCTTCAGCCAGCCAGCCTAAGTGCCAATTATCC